GGAACGTCCCTACTTCATTATAACAACAGCAGAAACTTCCCAAACAAACCCCAGCAATGGGAATACAAAAAGACTAGAGTAACAGAGGACCACGACGATAGTAGCAACCATGGTTTATCAGTAAAAGATAAAATAGGTGACCTAGCACAATCAGCCTCTTTCTTTACTATATGACATTTTCCAATTATATAGATGGGAGTCTTGAGCTAAATGTGGTCAGACACAGTACAGGTCCCTGGGAAGTGATGTAGTGAGAGGCAGGGTCAGTGCCAGTTAAGGGGCTGGGGGGAACAAGGCTGAACATAATGAAAGACAGCTGTGTGAACTCAGACTTTGCGATAATCATGGCTGGGGAAGAAAGAGAAAATGGGACAGTATCATGGGTCTTTGGAAAATTACTTTACACTGGTAGGTATAAAGAACACTTCTCCCTCCCTCTGTTCCCTTTTCCAGCAGCATATGTGAAAACTGGACATGCAGATGAGCTCATGTCTAGTCAGGAGGGTTTTCCAAGCATGTAACAAATGTTTATTGCTTTAACTAAAACTAGATTCACACATGACTTCATGGTGAAAAAGTGCGAACAAGCTCTCAAGAAACCACTCAAGCTAATCACTAATATTAATATACCAGAGAACTGAGTGTCTGGCAACGGCACTTGGAAAAAAAGCACTGGACAGGCGAGACGGTGTTCATGAGACTAACTCAGACCCTTGGCTGAAATGCATGGACCCATGTAGATAAGGGACCGAGGAAGGAGATGCTTGTGGATAATCAATGTGGAGAAAGTCTTCCAAGTTGGCAGTGACCTGGATTTTAAATACAAATCCCAAAATTCATAGGCACTAATAGATTCTTAAGACACTGACTTTAGACTATTATGAATTAAAATATCCTCACCAGCTGATAAGAAATTACTACCACACTCCAGATTTTTCTGTAAGACCTATTCACTGACTTGTGACTTTGCTTAACTAATTTTTTACATTTCTTTTGTGTGTATGTGCGTGTACATGTAGATGCATGAAAGCTGGAGTACATGACACAACATGCAGGTAGAGGTCAGCGGACAGCTTGTGACTCCCCCCCCACCCCTCGTCTGAGTCTTTGGGATCTAATTCACAGTTTCAAACTTGGAAGGAAGTGCCTTTACCCCCTGAGCCACCTCATCAGTCCTGTTTTTTTTGTTTGTTTTTTGTTGTTGTTGTCTTGGGTGTTGTTCTCATTGTTGTTATTGCTAATGCCTGTTAATCAAAGAATAACTAACTCAATACAAATTACCAATTTCTCTATTTTTAAAGCTGTTAAAGCCTGAGTTTCTAAAAGAACCTTCATGCCTAGAAAAGAGATGATGAAGATGCAGACCCAAAACTATGCAAGGCATCAACCTGAGCCTTACCCAGCATGCTGCCTGTCAGATCCAGCTAACTCCTAGCATGGCTACTATTCAGTGTGGATTTGTGTATGATTTTCACAGCAGACTTGAAACTCCTGGTAGCAAGCACCTTCCTTGTCTACACAGCACTAGCCTATCTGTTCAAAGACCGTTTCACGAATCAACAGGAAAATCTCAAGGGACGGGCACACCAAGGAATAGGATTGGTTCAAAGACTATATAGCAAGTCTGAAAAAGTTTATTTGGTTTTCGTTCTATCCTTTTAATTTAGGAAAATCTCACTGCATGTAAAATAGTCTCATGAACACAGGTGTGAAATCTTGTTTCATTCATCATTCTCTCTTCTCCTGCTACATAGCCAGATGCAATTCTCAGACTGCACATCAGTTAATACATTATTTCTGTGTAGCTTCCAATTATAGAAACTTTAAGAATAAGTATTCATAAGAAATATATTAAGGTTAAAAAAAATCAACCAGTCTGTCCAAATTTCCAACTTTTTCATCATTATACAAGATGTCTTGGTTGCTTATTGTCAGTTTGACACAACTTAATGTTAACTGGGAAAAGGAAACCTCATTCAAGGAATTACCCAGATCAGACTGCCTTGTGGCCATGTCTGTGAGAGATGGCCCTGATTGAGGATTGACACAGGAAAGCCCAGTCCACTGGGGGCAGCAACATCCTAGGCAGGTATATCTCAGCTATATAAGAAAGCTAGAAGAACAGGAGCCTGAGATTAAGCCATTGAACAGCTCCCACATCCAGGTTCCTGCCTTAAGTTCCAGCCCTGACTTCCTTCAATGATGGACTGTGACCTGGAAGTGTAAAGTGAATAAACCCTTTCCTTGCTTAAGTTACTTTTGGCCAGAGTGTTTCATGACAACTTAAACCAGGGCAAGATCCAAGTAAGATCTACATATGGTAATTCATTGTATATGAGTCTAAAACTCAGAAACCTCTACTAACCAATCAATGGAAGATAATGCCCCTACCCTCAATAACTTACATGCATCCTTTAGAGTAGCCCACAGTCTGGATTTGGCAGATCATTCACCTAAACTGTTGTTCAACATGTGCCCATGTCTTCAATTATTTGTAGTTGGATGCATGTCTGAATCCAGAGTTGATTTGTTGGCTGGACCACATCCTACTTTATATTTCTCTCAGGAGGAACCTGATGTCTATCATGTTAGCAACTTTTGTTTCATTATTTTTCATTAACACATTCATTAGGGGCTACAAAACAGTGGCATTCTGTTGGTCCTTGTTATTGAGAATCCTTCTACAAAGGCTTCCCTTTTTAAAATGAGACTTCTTTTTACCCTAAAGCTCAATATGAAAAGGCAAGAAGAATTTGAGATTCTAAAAATCTGCCCTTTTCCAAGTACCTAGTCCACCAGCATCCATTATCTATTCATCTATCATGGCTAGCTTTTAGTATCCTGATGAATGTGTCCATCAACTCAAACTTTCTCAGGGTGTTGGGGATCCATTTCAATTACCAACCCCATTGATGTGTATCATCCTGACTCTGGACAAGCCCTGATCAACCCTTCAACTTGCTACTGAGAGTTTGGGGGAAGAATCTTAGTATCATCTGATAGCTCCCTGCTATCCTCCATGTGATAGAGGCTACAGGTTTATTATAACATGGCAGAGGAATCATGCCTCCAGCAGCAAACTCAGACTGTGGGACAAAGGAGGACATGTCTTCAGAAATGTCCACCAGGAAATGGATCCCATTCTGGGAAGAAGTGATAGCAGAATCCTGTCTAAGGAGAACAAGTTTTAAAGAAGTTAAGAATGTGTGGGTGAGTTGGATGTTTTTTTGCCCCATCTTTTTGCCTAGTCCCTGCTAACAGGGAGAAACTCACTCTGGCTAAAATTATCATTCACAAAGAAAATCTTTTAAAGTACAAAACAGGAATTGAAGTGAAGTGGAATGAATGTGTAAGCCTAAAAATACAAGGGGAACATAGCAAACCGAGACAGACATACTCCATGCCAGGGTCATCGTCACAAACCCACAGCCTTCCTCTGCCCACTGCTGTCTCTCAGGTGTCTGGAACCGGACCAACCCTTCACTATGCTTGTGATTATCTCAGGATAGGGATGAAGGAAGGGTTGGTACCGAATGATAAAATGGAGCTGGTGATGAGGGACTTGCATGTGCACCGTGTACACAAGGGAACACACCCACAGTAGCAGGCTTTACAATACCCAAATGGAATTAAGCGACCCATCCACCCAAAGAAGAATGAACAGAACACATGCTCACTGGATAAAATACAACTCCAGGCAGATCTACAGTCACACCTACACCCATTCACACAAATAAACCAAAGTAGGGCATATGAAACATGACAACATATGTGTGAAGATAATACCATACATCATGGAATCTACCACTTGGGTGGAAACATGAATGCACACAAAGAACACTAAATGTGACTATTGGGAGAGAGGATGCCTGGGTATGGTAGTGATTGGCGGGGGAGGGACAGAACACAGGTCTTTAATTACTTTCAAACAGTTTTTCTTTTTAAAAATGGGAATATAGAAAAAAAGCATTTGATTAAGTTGTCCTTACTTTTTATACTTGAAATATTTGACATAAAATGTTCTCCTCTGGGACTCTGATCTAATATTGTTGTGCATGTGACATGTGTATATGTATTTCCATGTGTGTGGACACATGTGTGCGGGCACACGTGGAGGCCAGAAGTTAACAGCAGTGGTCTTCCTCAGTTCCTCTCCATCCTACACATCAAAGCAGGGTCTCTCACTTGGATCCAGAGCTCACTTTTTCAGGTAAAGCAGTTATCCAGATTTCCCTAGAGCCCCATTTCTACCTGCTGGGCACTGTTTCCCTAGAGCCCCATTTCTACCTGCTGGGCACTGGTGGTCCTGGAAGTCTTCACCTGGGTGCTGGAGATACATACTGGTTCTAGTTCCTTTCCAGCACACATATTGCCCACTCTTCTATCTCCTGAGCCCCCTGAGCTAACTTTTAACGTCATCTAAACAGACTTTCCTATTTGTAATAAACAGGTATAAGCTTGTATGCACCTAGCTCCCCAGCAAAGGACAAACAGAACTGTAGTAATTTGGCTTTTGTTTTTCCTTTTTACCTGAAATATCTGCTTCAGCGAGAAAAGGGCTCTTCTTAGATCTCGGCCACTGGAGTTGTACAGTTTTTCTGAAATAAATAATACAACAGTCCATTTAGATGACTCAAAGAATGGCACAAACATAAGAAATTATGAAGGATGACATCTTCTACCAGAAAAATGACAATGCAGCCACTCAGGTTACCTCAGCAGTGTGAAAAATGACTCCGACACAGGCCTGGTCTGTTACAGGTGACAGGGAGATGCTACCTCACCCCATTTCCTCCTCAATACAAGTATGTTTCTAGGGTTTAACAGAATGCCTTCTGGTATGTAGGTATTTCCACTCAGTGGCCAACTATACCAGGAAAACCAATGCAGCCCAAATACAATCCATTTCAAGGAAATAGTTTGTGTTAAATTGGAAATTTGTGTGATAGAGTAGAACATAAAGTCACTTAGAAATCAGGAACTTGTATGATAGAGTAGAACATAAAGTCACTTAACACCTAACCTCTTAAAAACTGCAGCTTACAACCCCTCATGGGATTGTAAACTGAATGGGCCACACACACACACACACACACACACACACACACACACAAATGCTTACATGGATGTACAACAACAGTAGAAGGTTTCTGAATATACAATAACCAAAACTTGATTAATAATCAAACAGTAATGAATTTCAAGGTGTATCTGGCATCACTTGCCTCTGCTGTGTCACATGACTTCACTGCAGCCTGGACTCTGAACACATGACATAAACTGTTTGCACTGTGCATGGCGTCATGTCACACAATACCAGCAAAGGCCTTTTGAAATGCCTCAGCTCAGATGTGAGACAATTGTGTGTTATGAATTCCAGTGTTCTTAGTGTAACATTTCTGCTCTTAGAGAAATTCAGTGACTTAATTGGTAACTAGAACTGTGGTCATGAGTAGGATGTACCTGCTTTGCACGTTAACTCTGAAAGTGACAGGCCCTGGGAAAGACTTGGAAGTCAGCGGTGTTAGTTGAGCTGCAGCATTTACATGGAAGTAGCAACTTAATTTATTCAATTCCTGCAATAAAGTGCTATACAGTATATAGTTTCTTGAATGAACTCTGGTAATTGATCTTTCCAGGAAATAATCTAGTTCATACAAATTGTTATAATCTTATTGACATGGAAATATTTGTAATATTCCTGGTCTCCCTTTTATTGACTCTGTCAGTCTCTCTTTTAGCTTTTATATTGATCATTTGTATCTAATTGCCTTTTTGACTCCCCAGCCTGGGTAGAGTCCTAGCAATCATGTTAGTCTTTTTAAAAGTCAGCTATGGGCTTGACTTTCCCATTCTTTGTGTTGTTTGGTTCAGTGATTGTCTTCTTTGTATATACTTTTGGTTTCAGGTGTTCTCCCTTTCTTCTCTCTCTCTCTAGTTTCAAATTTTAAAAATAAATGTTTGCTGTAAAATAGCTAACCTTTTCTTTGGCTTGTGATTGAGTCCAGGGCCTCTATCATGCTAGACAAACACTCTACCACTGAGCTATATCCAGTCCAATTTTTTTTAGTTTCTTAGAGCAGGACCTTCACTAATTGGTTTTATATCTCTACTTTTGAATATCAGGAATGATTTCCCATTTTTTCTAAGCAATGCTGTAGTCATTTCCTATACAGTTTACCATTTTTACTTTCATTCCAATTTTATAATAATATGTCATCAAATTCAAATGTGAAGGGGCTAAAGACATAGTTCAGTGGTTAAGAACACATATTGCTCTTCCATAGGACCCAAGTTCAGTTGCCAGGATCCATGTCAGGTGACGAACAACCACCTGTAACTCCAGCTCCGGGAGTCTTCTGAACTACACGTTTACCTGCACATACATGTACACACACAGGCACATACACCCATATGTGTGCACACGTGCATACACACACACACACACACACACACACACACACACACCACACACATTTTAAAATATAAATCTTTAAAATCCAAGTAGAAATAACATAACCCTGTAACTGCTTTGTCTTGAAGCTAGTTAGAAATATATCACTCATTTCTAAGTATCCAAGATTTTCAAGGTAACTGTCAATTTCTTGATAGAAAATATGATCTTAGGATATCAATTCTTTTAGATTTCTCAAGGTGTATGACTCAGAATATCTTGGTGAATCACTCATGTATAGAAAATGGCATGTATTCACTCATAATTAGGAGAATTGGTCTATTAATATCCACTGGGTCAAGTTAAGTGATAGTGCTGATAAACTCGAGAGAGAGAGAGAGACAGAGAGAGAGAGAGAGACAGAGAGAGCGACGAGGTCTCACTACACAGCCTTGGCTGGTTGGTCTGAACTCACTATGTAGACCAAGCTGGCTTCAAATTCATACATATCCACCTGCCTTTTGGTCCCAAATTCTGGGATTAAAGCCATGAGCTACCATGTCTAGCTTTTTATATTCTTACTGATTTTCCATTTACTCACTTTATAGACTGATATGAAAGGAGGGCTACGGTGTCCAACTAGCAGGCTGGATTTGTGCATTTCTGCTTTAACTCCTTGAGTTTTTGTGGTAGGTGCTTTTGATTTTTGTTGTTAGGGAATGCTATGACTTCTTGACTCACTGACCTTTTATCATCATATACTGTCTGTCTTTATCCTTGACTGTATCCATTATTTTAAAGACACTTTTCTGGTACCAATGTGATCACTTAGGTTTAGCATTTCTGTATCTTTTCCATCCTTCATTTTAAGTTCTCTACATAGAGCTTCCAGTGGACACCATTGCATCTTACTCTTATAAAATCTGATGACACGTGCATGCACTTTTCATAGTGCTGGGAACTAAATCCAGAACATTCTACATACCAGGCAAGCACTCTACCATTCATTTACAAACCAGCCATCTGTTTTTAATGAGTGTAGTGTTTCCACTGTAACCCTAACCTCTGGGGCACCACAGGTGACTCTACAGTGCACAAGGACTGAGGCCTCAGAAAGGTTCCAACACTGATTCTCACCCTTCTCTAAGAAACATCATCTAGAAAAGACAAAGACATCTTTGAGGGGTCTCCAAAAATCTTGATTCCCCCTTTTGTCCAAGCGCCACTGAATTTAAACAAACTAAAATTCCTTTAGAAGGAACATTTAATTCAACATCTTTAATTTCCACTACCATTTGTTTAAATACTTTCTATTGCAAACAAAACAGCACAAAACACCATTCTTGACTAAGAATGACTTTTCTCATACAAGAGAACTCACTTAGAAGAAGATTCTAATTTTTAGAGATTTATTTACTTTTACTGTATTGTATAGGTGTTTTCCCTGCATGTATGTTCATATACGGCATGTGTGCAGTGCCCACAAAAACTAGAAGAGAGCATCAGAACCCCTGGAACTGGAGCTACAGACAGTTGTGAGCTGCCATGTGGGTGCTGGAAATTGAACCCAAGTCCTCTGTGAGAGCAACACATGCTCTCTCTTAACATTCGAGTAATTTCTCCAGCCCAGGGAGTCACAAAATTTTAATATACTTTTTTTGAGTATCAAATATCAAAAGGACAGATAAATTCCACAATATTATACATTTTGACTAAAGTATTTTCTCAGACATTCTGCTTTATAATTCCATATGCTATAGAATATAAGGTCGACTTTATGCCAGAAATCCCACATGTGATCTTTGAGAGACAGCTTCCTTTAGCCTTCAGACAAAGGAATTGTAGCTGTTTCATGTTTAGGAACAAGATCCCCTCTCTTCAAGTTCTCCAAACCTGTAGTCTTCTTGCACAATCACCATGTGAACAAGATTCATAAACTGTCCCCTTTGTCACAGGAGAGCCATCTCCAGTACGTGTGAACAGAAGTCATATGTTAGTTACTGTCTTAGAGTTTACTATTGCTGTGAGGAGACACCAGGACCACAGCAACTCTTATAAAGGAAACATTTCATTGTGGTGGCTCGCTTATAGTTCAGAGGTTCAGTTCATCACGGCGGGAAACATGGTGGCATGCAGGCAGACATGGTGCTGGAGAAATAGTGGAGGTCCTGCATCTTGCAGACAACAGGAAGTTGACTGCGACACTGAGTGAAACTTGAGAAAAAAACCTCAAAGCCCTCCCCAGCCATGACACATTTCCAACAGAAGTGTGGCCCAGATTAGGCTGGAGGGCACACCTTTAGAGGTCTGGGTTAAAGGCATGTGCCATCCAGCCTCCTCCCATAGACCATACTTCCTCCAGCAAGGCCAAACCTCCTAATAGAGCCACTCCCTATGAGCTTATGGGGGCCAATTACATCCAAACCACCACAGTTACTTTTCTGGCTGTAGTGACAAATCATGTGACAGAATCAACTTCAGGGAGGAAGTGTTTATTTAAGTACATGGTGTGGGGGTGGGCACTTCCCAAGGTCAGGGAGAGAGCATGGAGAAGTCAGGGTAGCTCTCACACCTTATGGTTCAGAAAGCAGAGAACTCAGGCGCAAGGCAGCACAGATCATAACCCCCAAAGCCCACCGTGAGTGACCCAATTCCTCCCCCCAGGCCCCACTCCACAAATTTCCAAATAGCATCATCAGCTTCAGGGACCAAGTAGTGAAACACAGGAGCCTGTGGGGGATGGTTCGCAAGGGTCTTTAGAAGGCAATCCTTAAGACATTCCTGCTCTAACAAGAGCTAAGGCCTCTTACTGCAGCACTGGATTCAAAGTCCCCACCGAAAACCCCCTGCTCGACTGCTCTCCGCACACATTTCAGGAAGCACCCTCCACCTAGAGGCTCAGGAAAGATGACAGAACACAGATGTTTCTAAATAACACAACATTTGTGTTCTTACAGAGGGAAAAAACCACCCTGGGGG